CTGTACTGAGGGGACATGGAACGAGAGTGACTGGCCTGTCCAGGCAGATACTTATATATCTAGAATATAATTTTAAGATACCAAGAAAATAATAGATAGGTACATCAATATATATATATATATATATATATATTATTATTATTATTTATTTTTTTATTTTTTTATTTGTTTATTTTTTTGCTATTGAAATTTTTAGACACACCATCACCTTATGTTGTATTGGTAATTGAATATTTGCCTATAGAGATCTACGACAACATACAGAAAAGGCAAGGGAGAGATAAGGGATAATTGAGCATTTGATAATAGGTGATAGGTTTGGCCTACAGTAATTGAGATTCAACTTGAAGGCCAGAGGGAAGACCCTGAGAGACCAAAAGGAATAAAAAAAAAATAAAACATTAAAAAACACTCAATCATTTTTGACGCGCTGCTGTGTCCCATTTAACGTAGCTGGTCATTAATCGCTTAATTCCAGTAAACCTTCGCTCCATACAATAGCCCGCTGTCTTCTGCTAATGCATGTGTGATTAAGCATTTATCTCAGCACACGGGCGATATTAAGTCAGCAGGTCCTACAGAGACCCAAATGCCTTCGGGGGGCCGACCAGCCTGCTTGTGTAGCCTCATGGAGACGGGCTCTGGTTAATGACAGTGACCCGAGCTTCATCGGCCATTCTATTCAACCATTATAACGGCCTACCGGCTGATTTATGAGATCGGGGCTAATAATTGTCAATTGCTTAACGTGGACAACAATGCCAGTGTGTTAAATAAAATATGCCCCCACTCAGTCGTTTGGCCTCGTTTGTACTAATGACCCTGCCGGCCTACTTAAACCATGTTAAAATAAACAGCTATGCTTCGTAAACGTTGATAGACAACTTAAAATAGTCACTTAAGCTGAACAGAAGCACTAAAATAAATCAGTTTTTATTTTAGATATATGCATCTTCATTAAAACAGTAGTAAAACAAAGTCTGTTAACAGTGGTTATCATTTAGCGTTCAACTTTCAGAGTAATTAACGTGGAACGCCAAATGCTAAATTCATGACGAAAATGACACCAGTAACAGATACACGGTATTGCGCTATGCCCAAGACCACATCTTTAATAGGAGAGCATTTTGAGAGTCGACGTAGGCCTTCCTTTCCGCTGGGCAGTGCTAGATTTGGTGGAATCTAATGAGGGTCACTGTTAAACCAGCGTTACACAGCACGGGATGAAACGATGACAGGATACTCCGATAAGAATTTAATTCCATCTCATTTTAGACAATTTTATGAATCAAATTCTTAAACACTGGCAAGAGATTAAATAATCACATCTTTTCGAAATCTTATTTAGGTCCGGTCGATGGCATTTCTTCTCCCGTTAATGTCGACTTAGAGGTTGAAGTAATTTCGTAATTGATTCCGAGCACAGGATCTCGGCGGGGCCAGAGCCGCGTTAGAGGGTAATATGTTTGCTAATACTGTCCCCGCAGAATAAGATTTTTATGCTAATCCGCTCCTCTGAAGGCCAGACATCATCGTGGTCACTTGGGAAGGCCGTGAGCTGAGTGGCCATAAGAAAAGGATAAGGGATCTGGCATCCCGGATACACAGCCATATGGACCACAGTTCACATCGGCTATAACTTGGGTTTTGGGCCTATTCTCAAAAAAAGGCAAGTGATCGTATCTGTAATTGTAAATATAAGTTATTGTTTTAAAAAGTCACCATCCTTAGAATTACCAAAAAAAAAAAAAAATAAAATTATAATAAGAATAAAAATTATATTAATATGGCATGCTAGAGCGTTAAAATAAAAAGTTACTTACCATTTACCTGTCATTTATGAAAAGCTTGATTTAAATTGTCATTTGTTTTATTAATGCGTGCACGTGAAAAATAAACACGCATCCCGCGCGCTTGTAGGTTGGCATAACAGAGGCATATTTTTTTTCTAGTTTAGTGTAAATAATAATGATAACAAAATTTTACAGGTACGTCAGTACATTATTTATTTGTGAATGCCTTTAAAAAAATATTATATTGCAAGTATTGTATTATTGCCGGTCGGTGAACACTACTTCAAACCACAGGTTTTTAGCAAAATATCAGTCAGAGCAATATCTATTTAACAATGCTTAATTAATTTAAATATATATAAATAGATCGCGTCTACTATAACAGTTTGGTCGAAAATAAGCCCTGATTTATGAATATATTAGAACATATTTATATATTAGAAACTAAATCCAAATTAATACATTTATTTTAACAAACAAATGTAAAAATCAAACTAAACGCTCATCTTAATTAAAAAAAAAAAAAAAAAAACAGCACTGCGCGCAGCAAAACCTTTGATTCCACAAACAGAACCATAATAATTTCCCCTCTGATAATCTTAGGGTTTCCTCAACATTAAAGTGAGACGTTATGTTCGATCTGACAGCAGTCACACCCTTCTGGCCTCCCCTCTTATACACTCCTCTTTTTTCTTTTTCTTTTTTTTGTGACTGATTCGTCTTATCCTTCCACATACAAAGGCATTTTGTTTTTCCTTTTGCCCTCCTGCCGACCCGCATTCCACCAGCACAGAGCAACACAGAGCAGGCGTGCAGAAATCGAAGAAGTCTCTGCCGAGCCTTCTGAACTTACACCCCTATTGTCAGCCACTTTGCAACCAAAGATTTAGGATCTTGTGAGCCCCGTAGTTATTTGATTTATTTAAGTGAAACCATATGGACGCTGCTATTTATAAGTCATTAAATCACAAATAACCTTCTAAATTACGGTTATTGAACCATTATCACACTGTTAATCACTGATAACGTACAGTTTTACGGTTTGTTGTTAGAATAGGGCTTAATTTAGAATGCTTCGTGCTATTGACCTGTTAACGATATTATGCCGGTGCAAGCTGATTTAACTGATTTATCACAGATTATAGCCAAGTGGATCCAAATACCTTTAGAATTACTTGTGCGTCTGTTTGTGCGCCCGCCCGCAAACCTCTGTGCTTGTTTTCGTTAAACTTGGAGGTGGACAGGTCGCTTATTTAAACTGTAATATCAAAGGGTTAACGCTGACATTTTAGTCCGCCCAACAGATCGCAGAACCAGCTGATAGTATGAAAGGAGATGTTGAAAATATAAAAGATGGGCGTTTCGGTAGCTGGTGGACCACAGATCGTGAGAATAAAGAGCTGTTTGAATAGGGGAAACGGATGGTAAAAGCTATAATTGTATTTGCCTCGGCAAAATATCATAAAGGACTTTTCTCGGCCCTTTGTATGTTATTAGATTAATTCCTCGCGATGCCTTCTTGTTCCTTTCTAGGCGCGTGGAGGGAGGACGGTGGACCAGTTGGTCTTTGGTTTCAGTAATCAAATTAACCATTTACTACATCTTTTAGTCAAAACTCGCGTGTAGAAAGAAAAAATTAACATAATAGGGGCCGGGTTGTATCAAGAAAGACTGAACTTTTTAATCGCCATTTATCTTTCTCACAAAAAAAGACGAAGCTGACTGAAGGAGAAAAAAAGAGAATTTAAACGGCGCAGAAATGGTGAAAAATCAAACTCGAAACGCTTGATGCTTTCATTCGAGTGACCTCATAAATTTTAATCATCGCTTTTATCCCTCTGTTGCATATTGCACCTAGAGCGTATTTTTGTTTGTATAACCACAGGTGCAACGGTTTTTCTTGTTTCCATTTATTTATTTATTTGTTTGTTTGTTTGTTTATTCAGCACACAGGACGTATCATTGTAAATTAATCTTTTAGTTTAAGTAGTGATGTTTTGAACGTGTATAGGTTTGCTATTTGTTTTTGCTTATGCTTTACATACGATCAATAACAAAGGATGTGGCCTTGAATTTTTTCACGGTAAGAAAAGACGTGAGAAATCGTCTTTGGCTGATCATTCGTCTATTTGAAATAAATATATACAAAGCCTGTTATACAACTTGTAATCAAAAAACGTTGGATAGCCACAGCTACGAAATAATTATTAATGTTTTTAATTTATACAATATAGTTAGAATAATGACAATTTCAACATTTAAGAAGTCTACATTACGCATGATTAAATATATTGTGCTATCTCCAAGACATGGGTGCAACGCAAGAACCTTGTTACAACTACAAAATTATGTTCTGCGGCGATTTTGGAAGATAAGAGGTCTGACGATTAAGCTTTTTTCTGCGAATTTGCTACCCTTATTATCCAAAAGATAATAATAACGATAACAACAACAACAATAATAATAATACTAATAATAATAATAACATACACAAATAAATGAACAACTTGTTCAGTTTAACTTTAACGATAACAACAACAACAAAGCAGTGCCGTGCAAAAGAAAAGAGAAACGGAGAGAAGTACAAGTAAAGGAGAAGGGGAAATACTATCGAAAATTTAGCCCAAGGTATACCACCGGTTTAAAGGCTTAAAAGCTCGGGGAAAATTGGATCAGGGAGAATCGTCACCCAACTTTCATTATTTCCAAGTGGTGTGATTGAATTAAAGGGCAAGATGGCGGTTTGAGCGAGAGGGCTATACGTGGTGGAGGGGGCTGGCGCGTAATGGTGGGGTATTAAATTCTAATTAGAGATGCAGGGGATCAATGATAGGGAGGTTGGGCAGCCCGATCCCCCAGTGCCAGCCCAATAGACTGATGAGTTATTGTCATGTAAAAAAGCGCTAGCAATAAGACCCAAACGCCGTGCTATTGTCCAAGCGGAAAGAGCCAAGTTTATTATGAGGACTATATGCTCTAGAGACCTGGGGCTAGGCGGCTCCTTGGGAGGCTTTTCATAAAACAAGGCTCAGCTCCTATAAAGGAGGGCAGTTTTTGAGCAGGCGCCGAGCAGTGCACATCTACCCACGGCACGAGCCTCCGTCAAACCAGTAAAAATTCAGCCGCCACAAGCTCCCCAACTTCGTCCGCGTTTTGGCTTGCTTTTTTCATGTGCTCCTCGCCAATTTAATCAAATTTGAATTTGACGTTTGTGTGTATTTTTCCTTGGGAGTGCAGCTTTCCTTCTCCACTGAGCCTTTTCAATGTATAAAATGGAGTATTCTTACCTCAATTCCTCTGCCTACGAGTCCTGTATGGCCGGGATGGACACTTCGAGCCTGGCGTCAGCTTATGCGGACTTCAGCTCCTGCAGCCAAGCCAGTGGATTTCAGTACAATCCCATCAGGACGACGTTTGGGGCCACCTCCGGGTGCCCGTCGCTTACACCGGGCTCCTGTAGTCTGGGCACCCTGCGGGACCACCAGAGCAGTCCGTACGCCGCAGGTAAGCCCAGAGTCACCTTTAGCTCGCCAGCTGAGAGGCACAAGAATCATGGCCCTGGTATATAGGACGCCTTGATTGCTTTCGAAAATGGAAATGTGTTTAGTATTTACCAAACGAAATTTGCTTACACAAATGAAAGAATTTATCACGTTAGAAGCGATTGCAGGCAAGAGGTAATTCAGTTACGGGGTTACACTATCCCAGTCACACCCTAACCGCCAACAAAATTATCTTAAGCTGCCAAAATGATAGGCATAATTTATTTACTTTGCGATGAGACATAAACCTTCGAAAATAATGAAATAACCAGGGGCTTAAGCTCATTATTGGCACTGAATTGAAGTTGCAGTAGCAACAATAGAAGAGACAGAAGCATTTATGACACGTTTCCAATCCAGTCTCCAATAACATTTAATTAACTGCATTTCACAGAAAACAGGATTACTCCAGATTTTCATAACCTTATCTTTTATCACGATTTCATCTTATCTTAAACAATTTATGATGCAAGTAACCACTGAACACGCTTAGTTTAGAAATATTATTTGAAGTGTTTAATTTTCATTATGTGAATCAACAAGTTGCATGTTTTACTTCAAAAGATTTAAGGTGACATTTAGGTACATTTTCTTACAATTATACTTTCACAAATACTTTGGCTAACATCTGACTTATGTATTTGAACAGTCCCCTACAAGCTGTTTACCGACCACGGAGGTTTGAATGAGAAGCGGAAGCAGAGACGCATTCGGACAACTTTTACCAGCGCGCAGCTCAAAGAGCTGGAGCGCGTGTTCGCTGAGACTCACTACCCAGACATTTACACACGAGAGGAGCTCGCGCTAAAGATCGATCTCACCGAGGCTAGAGTGCAGGTGGGATATCCTCCACTTACTTCTGAAATTTCTTAAATTTACAACAGAAAACATGACAAAAAGTAAAGACGTGCTATATAATATTACATGACAAGAGCTATTACGTTTTAGTGGTTTATTTTTATGTTTATATTTATGCTTAATTTGTTTTATTTGTTTTTTTGTGGTTTAAGAGCTATGTAGCATTTTATAGTTCCCATGCTATACATTTCAAAATGTTAATACAGTTATGTGCAATAGTAATAATAATAATAATAATAACAACAATAACTTTTCTTTATTAATATAATGAACATTCATACTAAATAATGACAGTTTGTATTACTCAGTACTAATGTAAATACAATGAAACACGAACAATGCAATGTAAAATATGTTTTAAAATATGTGATGCGCATTTTCTACAGGTGTGGTTCCAGAACAGGCGCGCCAAATTTCGCAAACAAGAGCGTGCAGCCGCCGCCGCAGCTGCAGCAGCAAAGAACGGGTCTGGGAAGAAATCTGACTTGCGAGAGGAGGACAGCAAAGAGGCAAAGGCTACCGATCCTGACAGCACTGGTGGGCCCGGACCTAACCCAAACCCTACCTCCAACTGTGGTGGACCAAGTCCCACCGGCGGACAGGTCAGCGTCACAGGGAACGGCCCGGTTGAACAGGTGAAGACGTCAGTGGCTGGTATGGGAGGCACTGCGCCGAGTCAAGGTTGGGCCTCTGCCCCGGGCACCATCACCTCCATTCCGGACTCTCTGGGCGGACCTTTTGCTGGTGTTCTGTCCTCATTACAAAGACAGAACGGAGCCAAAGCCACTTTAGTAAAGACCAGCATGTTCTGAGTTAATGCTTTATGCAGAAAAGAAACGACGACCGCGAGATTCAACAAACAAGTAAGCGTTTACTCTAGTCACAGACAACTGATAACTGGAAAAAAGAAGAATGTCAAAAGAAGGAGAGAGAGCCCTGTATCTCTACCCACTGGCGTAGAAAAAAGAGACCACCTCTGGTCCTCATTCGACTACTTTCGACGCCATTGGTTTACACCAGAAGCTGGATAATAATACCATACACATTACGTTAACATTGTGACCTTATCCGGACTGTTCTGTTTTGGCTGTGGTCGTCACATAATTTCTGACGAATTCAAGTAAACTAACCAATAGACTGCGATGCGCGCACCTGCTGCAAAGAAAACCCACCAAGGACTCATGAAAATACAATTTCATTATTCAGTGTCATTATACATGTCATTATATCTTGGCGCCATAATTATTTGTTTACATTGACTCTAAACGTACCAATAGCGCAAGTTACATGTCTGTATTACAGAATACTGCCAAATGTGGCACTCTGTTATATATTTTTACCTATAAATCTACCAAGCCTTAGAGCCAGGGGCTCTGCAAACACTCATCTACATATTTACTATTAATCTAAGGCAAATTGTTCTTAAAATGGCACAAGTACATACTTCATTGTTGACAGGAATACGTAAACGTTTTGTGTGTCTTTCTACAGCTGTGTTTTTGTGGCTCAAATTGTATAGTGTTAAAACGTATTGACGTCCTAGATAAACATAGACCACATTCCCCTTGTAGTTCACCGAGTCTTTATAATGTTTTACAAGTTACAACTGGCGCATTCTTTGGAGGAAAAAGGGAATGGATGCAAAACATTGTATTTATTTTCTATATTATTTGCATGTTGTCTTCTCCGTCCAATTTTATAATGATTTCACCTATTTTGTGAGCATTATGTAACACGTTTTTGTCCAGGATTTGAGAATTATTTATATGTAGGTAATGGATGCTTATATTTAAGAAGGAAATATTTCTACATGTGCACATAGTTTTTCAGGTGTACCATTGACATGGCTGTTGATGATAAAAACGATTATGATGCTAAAATAGTATTGTCCCGTTTCCTTTTTAAAGTATTCACTTAATTTAACTGAAACATTGCTAAAATACAATATTCATTCAAAATCTCCATTCAAAAGATCTTTAGTTGTATTACTAGCTTCGGACGACCGAGAGGGCGTATATCCTGTTCAGCACCTTGGACAGCCGCACAAGGCGCCTGACTGCTCATATACAGATTCCGGGAAATGATGTTTTCACGACACTGAAATATATAGGCACTGTTGTTATTGTTGTTATAAACACAGATATACAGACTAAATTTCATTAGCAGTTTACTCCAAAATTCATAGCTTTTCATAGCCCCCCCCCCCCCCCCCCCCCC